GTCTCCTGCTATGACTTAGTGACATGTAACCTACCCATTAGGGAAAAAGTAAATCCCATTGGGACGATACAGAAAAAATGAACAGTGAAACTGTGCATAAGCAATTTTGGACATGTATATTACAAACTTGACCTCTTTAAAATACATATCACACCTCTTTAAAATCCAAACAGACTCTAAATAATCACCATAAAATAAGCCACTATAACTACTTTACAGTGAATGTCATTGAGAATTTTTTGTTGTTGTTGTTGACTGTTAGCACAGTGGGAAACGCTCTTTTTTCCATTTTTCCTAGGAGTAGAAATTCATGATCAAGATAAGAAGCCATTCTCATCCATATGTGTTAAAGATTTCAGATGTCAGCCGGGTAGTGGTACATACCTTTAATCCCAGCACTTAGGAAACAGAGGCAGTTGGATCTCTGTGAGCTTGAGGCCAGCCTAGTCTACAGAGAGAGTTCCAGGAAAGGCTCCAAAACTACACAGGGAAACCCTGTCTCAAAAAAAGTATTTCGGATGTCACGTGTTGTTCTGTCCAGCACTTGTTTGTAGGGGAAATAATTATATGTGAACAAACATTTAGCTGATAGTGAAAACTGGATGACAAAACAGGACTTTAAACAAATTATAATTTACCACTGAGATGACACCATAGAAAAATATTTAATGACATGAATCATAGTATTCAGTGAAACAGGACAATGACGGTAGAACAAACCCATTTTGGTTCATATAAAACGGCCTGGGAGGCAAACCTGTGTGTTGTTATTATTAGCTATGTCTGGGAGTTGAAATTATGAAGTTTTCCCCCTGTTTTATTGTTTCTGAATTATTTAAAGAATGTGTACTAGTTGTATGATTGTAAAGGAAACAAAAATGAAAATACTAGCAAACATTAGCTCTGTATCCAGTGATTTAAAATTTTTCTTATGGTAAACACTGTCCCATTTTGTATCTATTCCCTTTGCTCCTTGGTTAAGATGACCTCTTTGAATTCTAAGTCGACTGTGCAGCCCGTGAAATATCTGCTGAGTGTGAATGATGAATGTTCAATAATGGCCAGTAAATGATACCAGAGAAAACACTGTGTTCTTAGTTCAAAGTATCATTGAGTTTATAAAACGGTGCATATATTCCAACCTAGAATTGAATGCATGCTTCAAGGTTAATTAGCAATGTTTCAAATTATAGACCACTGTTGCTTCTTATGCAACTAACCATTAATTAGCTATGCAAATGAGGAAAGCAGGAAATGATTACCGGAGGAAAAAAACACATCAGTTGGGGAAAAGAGAAAAAGACTTCATTTTAGGCTTGAGTTTCAACCACTGATTGTTAAAACAAAACTGACCAGAATGTCTTAAAGTATACTTTTTTTCTTTTTCAAACTTGAGGTACTGATAAAAAAAAAAAATTAGACATTTGTTTTCTTTTGAGACTGTCCTTCCAAAAAGCCATATCAAAATATAATAACAAAATGACCAAAATGTAAACAACATAAAACTAAAGAAAAAAGTATGGTTAGTGATTGCAATACAACCCCCAGGGGAGATTTTAAAATGACACTTAGAGTTCCCCTTCTAAACCAGCTACTCTGGAGTGTGGGAGGAGCTGAGCCTACCAATGAACAGGCTGACTCCTGCTGTTCTTGAGCATTTGCTTTCTGGTAAAATCTATGATTTGATTAGATGAGCCAGGGAAACCTTCCCAGGTATCTTTCACCTTCCCCTAATATCTCCTCTGCCGAGAATTTGGGAGATTTTTCTCAGAAGGAAACTCTACGGGAGGAGTGATAGATACTCAAACAGAATCTGCCCAGTGCCATGATAGGTGATGGCATTAAAAAGAGAGTATCACTGGGGCTGCCAAGATGGGACAGTGAGGAAAGGCACTTGCTGTTGGCCATGTCACCAAGTTCAATCCCTGGGACCCACATGGAAAGAGAGAACTAACTACTTTTACCCTCTTTGCTCACTTTGACACATGTCTACACAAACACACGTACACACACATACACACACACACACACACAGAGAGAGAGAGAGAGAGAGAGAGAGAGAGAGAGAGAGAGGTAATAAAATTTAAATTTAAATGTAGCTCATGGGTGGAAATGGCAGCTACTCAGAAGCTCCTGGCAACCCTTGGAACTTTCTTGTTCTTTTGCTTTCCAATCTAAAAGCAGCCCCTTAATTGGTTTCTCTTTCACTAATGTTTATCTTCTAGTTTTTCTCTGCATGGAAACATGCTTCTGTTGTCTCACAGGATTGGATCTGACTGTATGTACACTTTGGAAATTGCATTTTAGTATTAACCTTATGTTTTAAGACTTTTTTTTTTTGAGATAATGGTCTCTCTGTGTAGCTCAGGCTGGTCTGGAACCCATAATCTTCCTTCCTCAGCCTTCTAAATCCTGGAATTACATCAGTGTGCTACCACGGCTGGCTTCTGAGAAACGCTCTGTGATATAAATTTTCTGTTTAAGCGGCAAATCCCATTACGGAGAGGCACCACATGGAGATGTAACTAACTGCCCTGATTTAGCTCTCTACCACTGCTTTAGGCCGTTGCCTTGCTTTTCCTTCTGTTTCTGATCAGAAAAAAGACCAGTCAACAACATAGTGAGTTCATGGTGATGTTTGAGATTGTAACCCACAATTTCCCTATGGATACTGAGCCCTTTCCCCTTTCCTGCTACTGTGTGTTTCTCCAATTTGTGTATCTAGCACTTCTGGACAAGTGATGATAGTATTTTTCTACCCTTTACCTAGACATACTCCTCCAAGTTTTTTTCACCATGAAGTTTGTATGGAAGATTAATCATTTTAGTATCGAATTTGTACTGTTTACTATATTCTGTGCTAAGAGTTTATAGCATCATGTATTTAACACTATGACAACCCTACAAGGCAAATCCTGTTATGGTCTCATTATATAGTAAGCTTAAAAAAAAAACCTGCTTCTAAATAACTTGTCCAGTATCACATAGCTAGTAAGTTGCAAAGCTGCATTCTGAACCCAAGGTTATCTTCTGAACTATTTTAAATATTATCTAAAATCCATATTTATTTAAAAATTTAAACATCACATTTAATATCATGTCATATTAGGCTTTTCATGTCATATTAGGCTATAAATTTTTCCAAACTTTCCTTTTCTCCAAATCCTTTTTAAAGAATACAGCCACTCTGTCACCAGACACTACATGATAGCATCCATGATTTACTGAGCATTTCCATGTGTATCTCTGATCCTCACAGCAGCCTTCCAAGGCAGACATAATATTCTTCAGTTTGAAACTGAGGCTTAGAGATCAAGAAACGGTGTGCTATCACAGAGCTACCATTTGGTTCAGAAGGATAATGAGCTAGAACTATTGGATGAGTCTCATGCTCTTATTACTACTGTAGTTTAAATAGCTTACATCTGTGTGTGTTTAAAGAATAAATTGAATGCTAATAGAGTGGGCAGGCTACAAAGAAAGGGTATTCCTGGTCCAACTCTTACTAATTCTCTCTCTCTCTCTCTCTCTCTCTCTCTCTCTCTCTCTCCTCTCTCTCTCTCTCTCTCTCTCCCTTCCTTCCTTCCTTCCTTCCTTCTTTCAAGTTTCACATGGTAGCCTGGGTTAACCTGGAAATCACAGTCCTGAATTGTAGGTGTGAAGCTCAACTCTTACCGAACTCCCAAACTCCTCCAGATTCCCTAATAACATGCTTTAAGTCAAAAGTCACCAGTGTAGTTTCTTTACTTTCTGGGAGATCAGCTAGTCAAACAGTTCTGATCATCAGAAAATGTGTTCTTTAAATGGTGGTTGCTTTTTGGTCTTAAAGTGGCTCTATGGAGCCAAAGGCAAGCCTCTGAGAACTCTGCCATTGACAGCATATATCTGGGTAGCCTTTTTTTTTTTTTTGAGACAAGACCAAGACCTAACTTTGTCTCTCAGGCTGCCCTGGAACTCCATATGTATCACAGCAGTCCTATTTCAGATTCCTGAGTGCAGGGACTACAGGTATGTGTCACCCATGCCTGGCTCCCTTCAGTATCTTAATGAAGACGCTTTAAGTCACAGTGACTGTTGCTGTGGAATATTATTTTAAGATGTGTTGCATTTGATTATGCTGTGGGATATTTGTTAATGATGCAAAGATGTGTTGCATTATTTTATGTTGCAATTGTTTAACTCTGTGAAGCCTTTTGATTTTGCCTGTCTAAAACACCTGATTGGTCTAGTGAGGCAAGAGAAAGGGTAGGCAGGGCTGGCAGACAGAGAGAATAAATAGGAGGAAGAAGAGGCAGCAGCTAAAAAGGAAGAGAGGAGGATGCCAGGGGCCAGCCACCCAGCTACACAACTAGCCACAGAGTTGTGTAGAAGGAATGAAAGGAATACAGAATAGAGAAAGGTTAAAAGCCCAGAGGCAAAAGATAGATGGAATAATTTAAGAAAAATTGGCTAGAAACAAGCCAAGCCAAAGCTGGGAATTCATAAGTAAGAATAAGTCTTTGTGTTTGGTGGACCCCTCAAAGAGTAAAAAGAAAAAAAAAATCAAACAAACAACTACAGACTGTGGTACTGTTCTGCAGTAACAACTCCTTACAGTACATTACAGTACAGCAATGTGTGTGTCCTCTGTTGACACACTCTGCTGTCAGAAGGTACTTGTGAGCGCCTCCACTCTTCTTCCCTCCCCACCACAGTATGAGTCCATCTCAACAGATCCAAAGGATGCCAGAACTGACACTTTTTCCAACCCTTTACACGGACAGCCCTTTCCAGAAAATCCCTTAAGACATTGGTTTGAAAAGTGAGTCAAAAACTGAAGGGAATGTTTTTATGAGTTTGACAAACAAGCCGAAAGGCAGTGAGCCATGAACAAGAGAGACAGCTCCTTTCTGCCTGATCGCCGCCCGCCCCCTGCCCGCCACCAGCGCAGCAGGGAGGAGCCCAGCTGTGATCTGCAGGGCGCTTGGGGAGGGGCAGGAGGATGCCAGCGGCAGGGCGGGCTCCCGGACTGCCTCATAGAGTCTGCCACCAGGCTTCTGACTGCTTAGCAACATCGCGGAGCAGGTCGTCCTCGAGTCTGCCCTGTCCACTGGTACCTAGCCATAGCTGGAGTAAGCTGGAAGAAGAGTTGGGAAATACTACTAGGCGACCTTGCCGCTGTCAGCACCATGGACAACGCACGCGGGCAGCCCCAGGCGCGTCTGGATGCTGCTGGCTTCTGGCAGATCTGGCAGCACTTCGACAAGGAAGGTAAGTAAGTTCCTTTGGCTACTTGAGTGCTTAGCTTAGACACCGAACGAACTAGAATTTCTCCTAAGCATCTTTCCTTGTAGGAAAATTTGACAACTGCGTGCCTGATAGAGTACACCCAGCGCCGTAGGCTTGTTACGCTGCTTTTACACATCAGAGGGATTTTGCTAAATAACTTAAATAGCTAAAATGAAATTATTTTAAAGTATTATACATACGTGTGTGTGTGTGTGTGTGTGTGTGTGTGTGTGTGTGTGTGTGTGTGTTAACATACAATTAATATACTTCACAAATATCATTGCAGACATACTCCAGGCTGATGGGCCAAGACTCAGAAATCTCTGCCACTTCTGTAGATATGACAGGTTTTCATTAACGACTGTCATATTACCCACCTTCCACTCTCTTCGAAGAAGGATGAATTTTGGCAACATTCAGGTTTACTTCTCCTCTACCTCAAAACACATTCTTGAAAATAAAATATCTGCTTGTCATTTGGTTTTGTTTCATTAGTAATTAAAGAAAATATCTGAAAGGCATGTTTACACACAAAGGCTAGGATTGAGTATTTACTTCTATCAAGACATTAGTGGGCCGATACTGAAATAACAAAAAGTGCAGGGGCTAGAGAGATGGCTCAGCCACGAATATCACATACTACTCTTTCAAAAGACTCAGGTTGGCCTCAGCACCTATGTTGGATGTCTTACAACCACCTGTTACCACACTCCCAGGGATCTGATGATCTCTAAGGGCATCTATACTGACTTGCACCCCTCCCCCCCCACACCTGCATACATATAATTAAAATAAAATACAAATCTGTAAAAGAAACTTTAAAGCATTCATAGGAAACATAAAACCAAGGCTAAACCCAAATCTAAATGACAAGGTGTGATGGTGATGGTGCATGCCTGTGATCCCAGTACTTGGGAGGTGGAGGCAGGAGAATCAGGAGTTCAAAGTCTTTCTCAACTACATAGCAAATTTGAGGCCAGTCTATGTTTCAATTCTCCCTCTCACCTACAATATTCTTTTAGACAAATATGGTCACATTTATTCTGTATTAGTAACACTTATTTATGTTTATCTTTTTGCATTAGAAAAAGGTTACATCCGAGAGACAGAGCTGGATGCCTTCTTTGACCATTTACTGTCAAAATCTGGCACTGAGGTGAGTACTCATATCACATGGCTCTCCAGGATGTGTCTCTCAGCAAATGTAAGCCTCAGAGTCTTGTGTTGATTTAAATCTATAATCCTACCTGACCTCATTTCTTCTTTGCATGTAACATCTTTCCCTCTCCTAGCAACATAAAGAGATTTAGGCAGATTTTATAAAGGGTACCATCATATCAGGCATGCTGGCCACTGATTTTCATTGAAACATCTGTCACTCAGTTAGAGTGCCTAAACTTTTGTGGACTCAGTCAACTCTAATTTGGATGTTTCCTTGGTTACATCTCTGCTAATGGACTTCAACATGGGGTAGGGTAGCTCTTAGACCAAAATCACACACACACACACACACACACACACACACACACACACACACAGAGAGAGAGAGAGAGAGAGAGAGAGAGAGAGAGATATTATGTGCTTTAAGGTTCCATGTTCACACATGGCAAACAAACCATTTAAAAAATCATTTCCTCATGATCTGTTTGACTAAAAGGTTGTAAATTTCTCACAAACTGCTAAACCAGACAAAACCAACATACTCAGAGTCAGACATAAAATGTAAAGTAGTTTACCCAGATGGTAAATTTGGCCTGGAGAGATGTGGATTAATTCTAGAAGGTTCCTGTACCAAAGAGGAGGAGAAAAAAATAACAGGGACGCCAAAGGCCAGGCCAGTCTGTGATTCATGTTGAATGTGGAGAGAATTCCTTTGGGTGGGTGGTCACCACAAGAGGAAAGGGTCTGGGACAGCTATATTTATATGAATTGTCTGTCTCTAGGTTTTAGTTCTTTACCTAGTTCTTTACTAAGTATTGAGGCATACTTAGTCCCATTTCAGAGCCATGGCCATGGGTTCTCTACTCTAGAAGAGTGCAAGAAAAGGTGTTAGAGGGTGGGACAGCCAGTGAAGAAATAAAATCAAAAACAAAACAAAAAACAAAAAACACCCCTTGATCTCCCTCTATTTGCCTCTCATGGTTTTTGTCTTTTGGTGTTCTGGCCACTTCTGCGTTCTCTACCTCCCAATCCCTATTATTGGATTCCTTTCTCTGACCTTTCTGTCTCATGTATCTCTGTGGGCTTTGTGTATTTCTCACCTGTTTCTTCAGCTCTCTTCTGACTTTCTCTATTTTCATTCACTTGTCAAAGTTTTCTCTTTGACCCTCAGGTCTTTTATTTCTCCCTTTCTATCTCTTTCCTGTGTCTTTGTCTCAACTCTTTCTGCTGTTTATTTTTACTTCTAAGTTTCTCTCAATTCCTTGGGTCTCTCTTTCTCTTGGTCTCAGAGTCTCTTTTTCCTTATTGCCCAGCCACTCTCTCATGCTGTTTGCAGTCTATGTGGCAAAGGGTGGCAGGTGAAAGACATGGAGCCATGAACTCCTTCTCCATGCTCTGCCTTTTATGTATGCTTCTCCCCAGCCTTCATTGTCGCCTTTCATTAGCCATGGGTCTAGCTGAGGAAGCTTCCAGCAGCTGGGATTCTCATTGCCACTTTGTCGTCCAGTTTCCCATGCCAGCAGCCCACTCTGAAGCCTGTGAGCCATGCATCTGTAAATGCTCGGGCTATGATTTCATAGGAACCCATGATTTAGATACCATATATTCAACTCTGAATGGAAGATATTTTAAGAAAACAGAGGAAGGTAAATTAATTCAAACCTCTCAAACTCTAAGACAAGATGATTACTTCCAAAAAGAAACTTCACAGAGATCTCAGAGGAAGGATTTTGATGGCTTGGGTAGATCAGTCATTAGAGTACTTGGCTAAAATGTGTGAAGCCCTGGGTTTTATGTCTTGTGTTGCATAAGGCATGGTAGCAAACACCTGCAATTACCACTTGGCAAATAGAGGCAGCTCCATAGCAAGTTAGAGGCCAGGTTGGGCTACATGAGAGCCCATCTCAAATAAATCACACACACACACACACACACACACACACACACACACACACACGCATGCATGTAAATAAAGTATTTATTCTGAGAGAAGGATTCTGGGGTTTCTAAGAGAGATCTACTTGCTCATCAGTCTTACTGAGCAATCAGCCTCCTTGCAGTCGCCTGTTCTATAGAGCCTCTGATGGGGCATCCACTATTAAGGTTGCTCTTTGTCACTCCACCCTCACTTTCTGCATGGTGATGACCTGGAACCCTAGCAAACTGACTGAGGGTGGTGAGGGACTAAAGAAAGAGATACACAGACACGTGCACAGTAAAGCTGGGGTCATGTGGGCTATATGCCGGTTGCTGGAGTCTACACATAGTTATGCAGTGCCAATGTGGACTCTCCCTGTTTTCATTAGGTACAACACAGGGGATGGGGTTAGCTAGTCTTGCTAGAAGGTGTCTCTAGGTGAGCAGTCTCAGACTATAAACATCTGGGAGAAGGAAGCTATGGCTGCTCAGTTTTGCATTCAGATCAGAGGAAGGCTTTGCCATTTCTCTGAGCTTCACTATAGGAGGGGAGCTTTACCAATTTCTCACAGGTCTGAGGCATTGGTCTTTGACATGGTTGTGACCATGTTAACAGTACACATTCAGTCAGGACTTCATCCACTCTTTACCCATTCATTCAGGGTTTCCTTGGCTCTCTACACACCTTTTCTTTTTACATGTTGAGAACTGGCCACCATCACCCAGACAGACAGATGACTTATGCGATTGAGACCAGACAGGGTACTCTACATTTAGTATTTTGACACATGAAGGAGCAAGGTTGGCAGGATGTTTGGAAACCATTGAAGCCCTGTTCACCTTCCACAGGGGAAAGAAAATACAGTCTTTTGTCTCTGGCAGCCCACATCAGAGAAGCCTCATGGTATGAGGGAAAGATGGCTATTATGTGTAGACAGAGTCTAATATTTATCTTAAACTCCAGACCTATAGCTGAGACCAATATGCCATTGAAATACATTTCATTCTGGACTTTAATGTCCACAAAGTGTGAATAACCATGTCTTACTCTTCCTGTTTCATGAGGAGCCAGCACAAGTAGAAAATGCATTCTAGTAGCTGAAGCTGCGGCCATGCACATGCTCTCATAATGCCATGATGATGTGGTGTCTCCTTGGGAATCTTATCTTTCCTAGCCTTTGCTATGAGCCCCTTTGCCTAACAGTCACCAACGGGTAACTGAAAATATACTTCTCAATCCTGTAGGAACCTCTGAGATCTACAACAAACTCTGGAGATTCACAGCTTGTAAGACTTGGAGACAAACCTTTGAGCAAGTGTCCCAGAAGCCTTTGAACAATCTTGTAAACCACATTCTCACTCCACTGGCTCTGAGAGTAAAAAAAAAAAAAAAGCACTCAAGCAGAGACAGTGACTTTCTGGCAGTAGTCACCGCAGGAGCCACAATATTTGCTCAGTGTGACACAATGGTCCAGGCAATGTTTCCTGTTTTGTCACTGGAGGCTTTGATCTCAATTCATGAATGTCTCCTCCCACATTTTTCACTTGGTGTGGGTTCACTTAGGAACATAGTCAAGTCCCTTCACCATTCCTCTTTTATAATCCTCAAATGAATACATTTGGCTGATGTTTTTACAGAGTCAATCTGTCCAAGTCCACTTATTTTAATCATTACTCTAATCATTCTAAATATAAAACCAAAGCCCTTAGCCTAGCATATGGCTTTGGTGTGGCTACAGTATACAAATCCATTTGATTGATAGGTTGTCTTTATAGAAATACTAGTGGTTCTGCTTTGGCTTAGAAAATTGAAATAACTGCTATTTTGTTCAATCTTTAGTTTTTACTAGCAAAGCTTTTCATTTTGGGGTGAAGCTTATTCCAAACAAAACACATTCTGCATTTGCAGGTGGGGACGTGATGAGAATTGATTCACCGGATTCTTCCTCATGCACACACTTCATTGAGTTTTTGTGTTTGAATCTCCTTCTTCCAAAGTAGTTATTCTCAACCTTCTAATGCTGTGACCCTTTAAGACAGTTCAGCATGTTGTGGTGGCTCCCAAGCATAAAATTATTTTCATTGCTACTTCATAACTGTAATTTTGCTACTGTTATAAATCACAATTTAAGTATCTGATACGTAGGGTACCTGATACATGATCCCCAAAGGGTTCACCACCCACAGGTTGGGAACTGCTGTAGGTGACAGGTAAGAAACATTGAATTTCTTTAAATTTTTTAAATTTTATTTATTTTTATGTGAATGGGTGCTTTGCCTGCATGTTTACATACCACATGCCCTCAGAGGTCAGAAGAGAGAATCAGATGCCCTAGAACTGGAGTTAAAGATGATTGTGAGACACTATGTGGTGCTGGGAACTGAACTGAAGTCCTCTGTAAGAATAGCGAGTGTTGTCAATGGGTTAGACATCTTTCCAGCTCCACAACTCTGTTTTTGTACTTGTTGACAAGTTTGCTCAACAAACACGGATGAGGCAAATGTGGATCAATTAACACAAACTCAGTGGCTCCCCATGTTTCTGGTGTCCACTTCAGTCCAGAGGCATGGGAAATGACCATGATCGTATTTAAAGGAGAATCCTTTCTTTTTAGAACTTCTTAAGTCTTAAGGAGCTTCCTTCCAGGATGGGAGGTTTAATCTGGGATGCTGTGTACCACCACTGCAGTCTTTTCACACCACCAGTGCCACTTCCCAAAGGTCTCCCCAGTCAAGCATTGTGACATGGCTTGCATGTCTCCTGTTTCTGCCTAAATATATTTAACCCCAGATATACACACCATGATCTTAGAGAACCCGATAGCTCAAATCATCAGTTAAGAGCATTTTCTACCTTGTTTATAGGTCAATATCAAACACATGTTCTGTACCTCCTTCCTACAATTAGTGAGACAGGAGTCCAGTGCCAGGGACCATATTCTCAACATGATGTCTGGGTCTTCCCTAGCATGAAGTTGGTTCTACTGACCAAAGTACCTGGACTTCCAAGGATTGGATTTTCAACTTCAAAGTCTTATGCTGTTTAGAGTTAAGCAAAGATGTCTGTGAGTTGCCTGAGTTCAAAGACAGTGATGAATGGAGTCCAACCAAAATTGGAAACTTACTTAAAACATGAGATTGCTTTTGTTGGTCATTTGATTACATGCTTCTCCACTGTGAACTTCATAGATGACAATGTCTTGTCACAATGTCAAAAGGTTGGGTACACTTGAGAGAGAATCATATTGTTCAACTTAATTGTTAGAACCTATCTTGAAAAAAAACCAAAGCAAGTCACCAAAATGTTCCTGGATTGTTTAAATAATTTCTCATTTATAAACCTCCCTATTCTAGGCTTTAATAACTCTTCTGGACACTCTGTGTTGTATTTGAGGTACTTCAGGGAAGCACAATAGTATACTTCTGAAAGTGACAAGCCAGCCTGGGTCGGCCAGTGCCCAGCTTGTCAAATCACCCCATCTTCTTGTTTCGTGGTGGCCAAAAGAAAACAACAGCCTTCTAAATCCCAAGGCAATGATGCCTCAGATGCTCTAATGTATTTCTCCTTCACTCTTCTAAATCACCAAGACTGATCTGGGAGAAAATACACCCTGACTAAGGGTAGCAATAGACAATGGTACATCTCAAGATGAGAAGATGGAGAGTTGGTGTAGCTCTTCAAACTGGTTTTACACTCTTGGAAATGTGCTATGTGAACAGCTCAGCTTAAGGGACTGGTCCTAAGGAAAAAAGACACTGCTGCTGGTTAGTCAAGTAAAAACCTAAACCTAAACCCCCCCCACACACACACAGAGCTGTGTGAGAAATGTCACACATGGGAGAGAGCTGGGATATCTTTGGTAACTCAACATCTACTTATTTCTTTGCTTTCCTCTTTAATTATGTCCCTCCTACAATTATTTTTCACCAAGAGAGAAAGCAAGGAGTCTTCAAAGCTGGACTGTTTAGTTAAAAATTTTAAAAGCTTTGAGTTCCTGGAAAGAACTCTTGTACATTAATTACTACCCAGTCTTTTCATTCAACCAAATAGCTGATGATATTTAAATGCATTCTTTTAATGCCCACAGCAGTCACTAAGCTTCTTTACATCTGTTTTAGTTAGGAGATTAATAGGTGGTTGGTGGATAAGAAAAATCTGTCAGTGCTCTCTTTTGAAAAAAAAAACAAAAATCATTACATGGTGACTGGGATACATGCTTTGAATGCTTGTGATCCTGGTGGCTATAACTATACATTCTTTGTTTCAGGACACTCTTATGGAAGAAAATGTGCAGAAAGTGAAGCAACAGTTAATGTCTGCCCATGATGTCTCTAAAGAAGGTCACGTACTGATGAAAGAGGTAGTTCCATGACCACATACCCCATGCCCTTATATTCATGAGCAGACATTTCCTTTAAAAGACAGTGGCAGCCAGACATGATTACTCATGTCTGGCATCCCATCACTCAGGATGCCGAGGCAGAGGGATTGCTGCAACTTCAAAACCAGCCTAGGTTTCAGAGTGAGTTCCAGGCTAGCTTGGGTTCAGAGTGACACTTTGCCTCAAAACAACAAAGCCACAAGAACCACAACAGAAAGCAGTATACACTAAGATGATGAAGAGCCTATTGTAGTAAATATATAAACCAGAAACTTATTAATACTAATCATTATCAAGACTTTTGTATTGTAAGTAATTAGATGGTTTTACACTTTTATATGATTGGAGCATAGTGGATTTGTCGCACCACAAGCATGAGTAACAGGTACAATCTGGACTCACTCTGTGACACTGACAAGTCCCACAGAAAATTACCTTCACTTATGGTGACAACTGGAAAAGAAGACAATGTACACTTTAACAACCCCAGGCAATCTTGCCTCTGTGCCAAGACAGTGCTGTGATCACCAGGGAAAAAGACATTACCTTGTTCACAGACCATGTGAAGTAAATCAACCAACCTGGCACTTCTATAGGAAGGTGGTCGGCTGAATGAACACATTTGCATATTGTAGTATAAGATAGACACTAATAGTGTTATAGCCAGAGCCTCAGAATCTAGGCAGAGAGCAGTCATTCCTGTGTCCACACCTGATACTGAAGAACCCAATAGCATATGACCAGCAAAACATGGCAGTTCAGTGTGGGCCTGAGGGTGTCAGTTTGCAACATAGACTCTGCCACTTATTGTGCAGTGTTATCAGCTTTTTTCTGTGTTACCCAGAAATGGAGAAATGTCCTAAGTGCAAGGCTGTGTTCCTGGCCACAGATTAAGATTCTGCCTCAAAAAGCAACAAAATAAAACATAAATGACTGCGTATATATGAACCTTAGAGCAACACTTTCTAATATCAATAGATTAAATCATCAATTCAATGGCAGAAGTGCACATAGAACAAATTAAATGATAAACAAATTCAGCATCATCACCATTACTGCTGTGGTTATTTCTATTGGGAGGATCCACAGTTTCATATCTAATAGGATTATGGCATTTTTTGAAAGAACCAATAATTAATGAATGACCATCGCTGAGGTTTAGAACTGCAAGCTGGGCTCTCCATCCTGGGAGCTCTGAAAATGTTCCCTACAACATGTGCATTGCATGTTCTGCTTCTTAAGTGGACACTGATAAGAGACCATGACTATTCCTTTTTGTTTCCTGTAGCTTGCCAGTATGTTCTTATCTGAGGATGAAAATTTCCTCCTGTTCTTTCGCCTGGAAACCCCTTTGGATAACAGTGTGGAGTTCATGCAGGTGAGCACTTGTTGTTTTCATGGAGAAAGAGGGTGGGACCACCATTCATTACTCTGCTTGTCCCTAAGGCCCCATGTATGTATGCATGTATGTATGTATGTATGTATGTATGTATGTATGTACCTACCTGCCTATCTGCGTACTTATATTTGTAATGAAGTCTCTCACTGAACATGGAGTTCATGTTGAGGAGCCCTGGGATCTTCCTGTCTCTACCTCTCAGAGCTGGCATTACAAGAACATGCCAGCACATACAGATTGTTCACATAGGTGCTAGGGATGTGAACTCAGCAGGTCTGATTGCAGCAACCACTCTGCCCACAAACTATTTCTCTAGCCCTTTTATTGTATCTTCAATGCCCTTTTTGTGTTCCTCCTATTTCCTAGGGTGTAACCTTTCCTATGAGCCTGCTGGCAATATGCCTTTTCTTTTTTCCTGAGCATCTTTTTACTTTGTATTCTTAAAGAAGGGCTTACTGAATATTTACACAAAATCTTTAGTCCTCCAGTGGCTCAGATGCAATAATACTATAAGATCAATAAATGGAGATTGCTTGGAGACAGCATTGTAACCTGTGTTTCTTAAAATTACTTGTTTTCATCATTGTGGTATACTTATACATAAAAATTAGAATGTGGATCACATTTAATACATGCTTTTTGTAAGTCTGGAAAAAATCAGTTGTAAATGATACAGACTTAAAGGAGTGACATTTCTGACTATTTCTCACTAAACATCAGTTTCATGACCAGTGTTTACATTACCCCTTCAAGGTCTACAATCTGATTGTGGCTAGAAATTAAGATCCTGGCAGTTAGTGTGTTCATTATTTCTCTGGGTGCTGTGATAACAGTCTCCAACAAAAGCAAATTTAGGAAGGGTCTGTCTGGTTTACAGTTTGATAGTTTGGTCCATCATAGTGAGGGCACAAAATGAGGTGGCAGAGGAGACAGGCAAGTAGTCACACTATGTCTGTAATTAGGGGGAAGAGAAAGATGGATGCAATTGCTCAGTTGGCTCTTCTCCTTTTATTTAGTTGGGGGCCTGTCTATGAGATGGTCCTGTACATGCTCATGGAATTTCTTCCATCCCCAGTTAAACCTGTCTGGAGAGACTCTCAGGCATACCAAGAAGTGTGTCTCTTAGGTGATTCTAAACCAGTGAAGATTACTAAAAAGCAAAACAAAGCAAAACCAAACCCCAAACGCTTCATGATGATTTTCATTGTGAGCCTCCTTGGAATAATCAGAGGTTATCAAAGTAAAAGCATTGGTTAAAAATGACATTCTGCACTTTCCCTCACAGATGTTCAGCTTTTGTCTTCCAGTTCAGTAAGCAATTGTATCTTCAGTGCATCAGTGCTGGCCTCAACCATCAGGAGGGATAGCTTGCCACTGTGAAGTATCAGTGCCAAATTTTCTCTTCTACCCAGAACAGGGCTACACAGGCAAGAGTCCTTGAAACTTTTCAGTTTGTTTGTTTCCTTGGTCGTTTAGGCTTTCTGATGCAGGGTCTCTATGTAGCACACACAGGCCTTGAACTTGTAATCCCCCACATCATTCTCCAAAATTCTTGGATTATAAGCATGTACCATCACTGCCAATTGTTTGCTTTGTTTTTTCCTTTGGCATGTCATTCTGTGTAATCCAGGTTGGTCTTATACTTAGGGCAACATTCTTGCCTCAGTCTCTCCAATACTGGGGTTACACACAATCTACCTTGCCTTGCTCTTAGCTTCTTTATTCTCCCCAAAAGCTCATCATTTTACCAACATAACGCTCTTTAGCGTTTTAGTTGTTAACAGGTAACAATCAGATTTTCCTCAGATTTGTCTCCCTGAAGCACTGTTCTCTGAGTAATCCTGTCTGTGTGGTCAGAGCACAACAGACATGCTTAGGACACATTTGGCTCCTATCATTTCTTTCCTTCCTGGAACTGTTTTTTTTTTTTTTTGTCTTGTGGGGTCTCACATATTTCATATTTGTGACAGCTCTATATTTAAAGCAGTATTTTTATAGTATCTTCCATTTTTAGATATTTAATGCAAAGAAGGTATTTCTGCTTTATGCACTGTTCCCAGTAGAAGTCTCTTGTTTTAGGCTTCCATTTTGAGTTTTCCAAAGGAGGCATGGTCCTCTTGGGTGGCTCTGAGATTTATCTCCATCTCTGCTGAGTTCTACCCACAGCAAGTCTGAGCTCCCTGGAAAACCATCTCTTTACATCCAGGTAGTAACCATTTGCAGATGGTGACTCACAGGAACACTATATAAGTCAACTCTGAAATGTCCGAAGATGAACAGTAATATGGTTTGAATGTGAGATGTCCTCCCTAGGATCATATCTTTGAACACTTAGTCACTGCTGGTAACACTGCTCAGGAGGTAGAGTCTGAGCAGAGGAAGTAGATCACTGGGCCTGGGCCTTGAGTTTCATAGCCTGGCCCTACATTTTGTCCATTCTCTGTTTTCTGGCTGTGGATATAATGTAATGGACTAGCTGCTTTGAGTTCCACAGCCAAGCCTTCTCCTCTAGGATGGACCATGTTCTCTCAAACTGTGAGCTGAAATAAACCCTCAATTAGGCTACTTCTTGTCATATAACAAGAAGTCAGGCAGCTAAGGCTCGAGATGAATGGCTTTTGTGTGTTTCAGATTTGGCGCAAATATGATGCAGACAGCAGTGGCTTCATATCAGCTGCTGAGCTTTGTGTGAGTACCAGTGGGAAGTAACACTAGGTGAAGGGTTGGTTTGTTTGGGAAATATATATAATATACTCATGTATATTATAAATTTATATATAAAATTATATAAAATTCATATACACAACATATAATATAAATACATATAAATATAATATAGTTATACAATGGTATATTATATATTATAAATTTATATATAACATAATTATATATATAAATATATTCATATAAATCATATATATAAATAAATTAATTTTATTTCTGTGGGCCTAAAACACATGGCTTTGACTTTGTTACTTCAAAAAGAGCATATTTATGTTAAGATTTAGAAGGTGAGCTGACAAGATGGCTCAATCAGTAAAGGCATAAGCCTAATGACCCAAGTCCAATCCTTGGAACCACATAAAGGTGGAAGGAGAGAAACAACTCCACAAAGTTGTCCTCTATTTGCACACACTGCTGCACACCTCTGATTGTCATATGTATGCGTGCACACACTTACAGCACAATAATAAGAAATTTAAAACCAACAAATAAAGACTTAGAAATTGCTTGTCATGATGCTGTCCTTGGGAAAGAAGTGAATGCATATTTTATGATATGTTTTGTGCTAGGAGTTCCTCTCTGGCTTCTAAGAGCACCTTCAGTGGCAGCCCTCCATGCTTCTATGTAATGCTGATTTAACATTTTATTTCCTCCATGAAACAAATCACAGTCCCACCCCAATAGAAAAGACCTTAAGCAAGTTTATATCGTATTTGCTCACTGTGTTCAATGTCACTCTTCTGTTGGTGTCACAGAACTTTCTCCGAGACCTTTTCCTCCATCACAAAAAGGCCATTTCAGAGGCTGACCTGGAAGAATACACCAGCACCATGGTGAGTGAAGGAGCATAGGCCCCATGGGGGAGACTGTCCTGGCCTCTTCATTTCCCCAAGAAATGTTTTCTGGTGGATGGCTGCGTGGGAAGAGACTGGCTCTGAAACAGTGGCTAAAACTGTTGTAGACTCTTTCTTGGGAACAGATGCATGCATTTGAGAGAGAGGGCTGTTCACCTGTCTTTGGAGAGACCAGAAATGTCCAGAAAACACTAGGTTTTTAAGCCCTTGCTAGCAAACCCAATGGTCATCAAAGGGACACAGAAACATGTAAACATGGACCTGTGCCATCAGGACTCAACACATGGACATGGCCTCCCACCATAGGGGTGAGTCTACTCATTGAGCTTGTGGGCTCAGAGCAGAGGAAACTCAGATGGAAATCTGCATGTTTACTGTAGCTGTGACCTAGGAAAGTGATGAACTGCTGCCTAGGTAGTGTCAGGACAAAGCGAGTTGACGCCTATGGAGCTCTTTGCATTCCATGGAGAACACAGGTACACTGTAGTCATTAGCTTTTATGCAGTTCTTGTCATTATTTCGCACTATACTTTTTAAAATCATTTTTTAAATTTAAATTAGAAACAAGCCTGCTTCACATGTCAACCCCAGCTCCCTTTCCTTCCCCTCCTCCCCTGCGCCCCACCAACCCCCCACCTCATCTCCCCTCCGCTCCCCAGGGAGGGTGAGGAACTCCATGGAGGATCCCCAAAGTCTGTCATATCATCCGGGGCAGGGCCTAGGCCCTCCCCCATGTGTCCAGGCTGAGAGAGCATCCCTCCATATGGAATGGGCTCCCAAAGTCCATTCATAGACCAGGGATAAGTACTGATCTACTACCAGACATCCTATAGATTGTCAAGGCCTCCTCACTGACACCACATTCAGGGGCTCTGGATCAATCCCATGCTGGCCATCAGTCTGGGGTCCATGAGCTCCCCCTTGTTCAGGTCAGCTGTTTCTGTGGGTTTCACCAGCCTGGTCTGGACCCCTTTGCTCATCACTCCTCCTTCTCTGTAACTGGATTCCATTTCGGTTCAGTGTTTAGCTGTGGGTGTCTGCTTCTACTTCCACCAGCTGTTGGATGAAAGCAATAGGATGGCATATAAGTCAGTCATCAGTCTCATTATTGGGGGAGGGCATTTAAGGTAGCCTCTCTACTGTTTCTTAGATTGCCAGTTGGTGTCATCCTTGTAGATCTCTGGAAATCTCCCTAGTGCCAGAGCTCTCCTCAAATCCATAATGGCTCCCTGTTACTATAAATCTTTCCACCAAAAGCTGCCCAGCCCTATCGCCACAAGGGCAGTCTCTGCCAGCCACCTGAGTTCTGGCTACCACATGGATGGACAAAATAATACAGAGACTTATATTACGTACGAATGCTGCTTGGCCAGGATTCTCATCTGTTAGCTTAGTCTTAATTATCATAAATCTATATATTTTATAAGACTTATCTTATCTGACACCTTCCATTGGCGTCCTCTCTTGCTGGTGGATCACATCACACTTCTGGAGGAAGAGTGGAGGGGAAAAGGGCCCATTTCCTGTTTGTCCTTCCTTAAATATGAGTCTCCCTGCTAAGTCACTTCCTGCCTGGATCACCGCTTCTTACTACATTTCCCAGAATCCTCTTCGCCTCCTAGTCCCACCTAACTTGCTGCCTCATTGGCCAAACAGTATTTTATTCAACAATCAATAAGATGAACATACACAGTACATTCCCCATCATCTCCCTCTGTTATGATCTCTCATTCTGCTCTCCTCTATTCTTCCCCCGACTCAACCTTCCTGCTCCCCTATTTCCTCCTCTCCCCTCCTCTTTTCCCTCTCTCTTTCTCTCAGCTCCCTCTCCCCTCCCCCATGCTCTCAATCCTCTCAGGATATCCTGTCTCCTTCCCCTTCCCTGGGGTACCAGACATGTCTCTCTTAGGGTACTCCCTGTTTTCCAGCCTCTCTGGCGGTGTGGATTGTAGGCTGGCCATCCCCTGCTCCATGTCTAAAATCCATATATGAGAGAGTACATACCATGTTTATCTTTTTGTGACAGGGTTACCTCACTCAGGATGGTTTCTTCTAGTGCCATCCATTTGCCTTTGAATTTCAAGTTTCCATTGTTTTTCTTTTTTCCTGCTGAGTAGTACTCCATTGTGTAAATGTACATTTTCTCTATCCATTCTTCAGTTGAGGGGCATCTAGGTTGCTTCCAGTTTCTGGCTATTACAAATAGTGCTGCTATGAACATGGTTGAACAGATGTCCTTGTTGTATGAATGTGCTTCTTTTGGGTATATGCCTAAGAGTGGAATTGCTGGATCTTGAATTTCACACTCTTCTTATGGTATTCTTGACCCAAATAACCATGAGATGATTTCAGTATCCAGGTCCTGGGAAAATAATTAGTAGGAAAAGTTGCCTCTGGTGGGCTTATGATTGCTTTCTGTTTTAGTGTTTACTAAATGCTCTCAACAGTTTGTGTTGACTTGCACCTGTTGCTATGCCAGCCTCTTCCTGTCTCCAGGGCTGTGCTTCATTCTCGTTACATCTGAAGGTTTCTTAATTAGTAAGTAAATTACTTACAGTCTTAGTTGTATATTGTAGGAATGTCACATTTATTTCATACTTTAATGCAATGCTTTTTAGAATTTCATACATGAGTACTGTATTTATATCACTCTTCTTTTTTTTTTAACCAGTGTCTCCATGTTACATTTATATTTATACAAAGAATTCCTGAGCAGAGCTTATGAGAAGTTGGAGCTTATCCAACTGAGCACAGTATGTGGTTTTCTAAAATGTGGGCCAGTGTGTGTGTGTATGTGTGTGTGTGTGTACGTGTGTGCTTGTGGTGGGGGCATGCATATGCATGTGAAGACATGAGGTCATTCTTTAGAAACCATACCATAAAAAATGGGGATGTCTCACTGACCTGAGTTTTATTGGTTAGCTGGCTACACTGATTGACAGTGATCCCCAGGGATCCTCAAGTTTGTTTTCCCAATGCTGGGATTACGCACAGGCTACCACTCCTGGTTTTTTTTTTTTTTTTTTTTTTTTTTTTTTGTGGGTTCTAGGGATTAAACTCAGGGTCTCGTGCTTGCAGAAGTATTTTACCCATTGATCTATCCCCATAGCCCTGTATATAGGTTTTTAATTCGGTTGCTCAAATACTGAAACTTCTTTCAGAGATCAGCTAACCAAGAACAGCCAATTTCTCAGCCAAAGGCATCATAAAGTTAAGCTTCCTAGATGTCAGCCCAGGATCCCAACAGAATAACTCTTTGAACTCTGGCCACTCTGAGTGCTGGCCTGGGACAAGTGAGTCTTCCCAGGGAAAAATGAGAGCTATACTGACCATGATGACCTGTAAATAAGAAAAGATGATGCTCAAGACAGAACCAAATCCCAGGACAAGATGTCAAGGAAGCATTTGGCTTATTTGTTCTAACTGAATGCCAGGTGATATTGGGAATCTCGAGCAAATACCAGCTCAGTTCTGGGAAGTGGCAATCTCCCAGGGGCAGGAAGCAGGTGGCATAGTCAAGAGCCTCTGAGATCAGTCTGACCTAAGCTCCAGAGAAGCTATGTCATGGAATATACACAAAAAAGAACTAGTTTGCATCTTTCAGGGGGCCTTGAACATATTTTAAACATCAGTTGAACAGAATGTTAGCCTGTCTGTTGTTATCTCGATTTAATTAATTTGTAAAACATGAACTACACAATGAATACATTTACATTTTAAGTCTCTTGGAGCTTTTCTGGCTTTTCTTCCAGCTTGAAGCTGTTTGAGCAGAGGACTCCTGTCCACCTCCAGATAACAATTCTAATCCCTGCTTTTTTGCTTTGTTATATAGCTTAGCTATTATTTTTCTATTCTTCTTCCCCTGGTTCTTGAGCATCCTTCAAGATTCTGTTAGAAGTTGTCTTTCCCTAAGAAATCCTCACAGATCCTTTCAGAGCGAATCCAGTACCACTCTCTGTCTAGCCTATTGTGCATGTCTCCACCTTAACCTCACAGTCATTCACCTAAGTCATCCAGCAAACACTCATTAAGTGCTTATTGCGCCCTGGGCATGAATAGAGTCACTGGGGATTCAACAGTGAGGGAAATTGGAAAGAGGAGCTTGGCAGTAAACAATATATATGATAAATAATAAATAATATTGCATGACAGAGTGAGTGGAAAAGTAGAGCCAGCATGGCAGAGAACTGAGGGTACTCTAGTTTTACTTATGTTGCTGTGATAAAATATCCTAGCAAAAGGGAAATTAGTGGAGGAAGAGACTTATTTCAGCTTAAAAATTTAAGGTTACAATTCATCATTGAGGGGCAGTCAACTTTAAAATGCTAGTCTCATTGCATCCACAATCAAGGGCAAAAAGAAATGACTATGTGTCTATGCTCGCTTGCTTGCTTGTGCCTAGCTTGTTTAACCCACTTTTTTTTTTTTTTAAAAAAAAATGAAACTCAGACTTCTTTTTTATTTTTTATTATTTTTTCCATTTTTTTTTTTTTTTGGTTTTTTCGAGACAGGGTTTCTCTGTGTAGCTTTGGAGCCTATCCTGGCACTCACTCTGGAGACAAGGCTGGCCTCTAACTCACAGAGATCCACCTGCCTCTGCCTCCCTAGTGCTGGGATTAAAGGCATGTGCCACCAACGCCTGGCCTTTTTTTTTTTCCAATTTTTAATTTGAATTAGAAACAAGATTGTTTTACATGTCAATCCCAGTTCCCTCTCCCTCCCCTCCTCCCCTACCCCCCCCAACTAAAACCCTACCTATCACATAACCTTTCTGTTCTGCAGGAAGGGTAGACTTCTTGTTTATTATTGACAAATGTATTAGTCTGTTTACCATTTTTTTGTTTGGTTTAGTTTTTTGTTTATGGTTGAAGCACTATGGCACACTATGGCTGGTGCTACTTCCTGCACTCTTATACAGGCTATGGACCTCTGCCTAGGGAATGGTAACACCCACAGTGGGATGGGTCTTCTATATTAAT